TGTTCCTGGCCGTGTTCGCGTGCACGTGGAGCGCAAGTCTGAGACCCCCGAGGGTGGCAAGCGCAAGCACTTCTACACCGTCATCTCCAACGTTCCTGTCGCCTCCTTCAAGAACCTCACAACGAAGGTGACTGAGCAGTAAGCGTGTCTACGTGGTCGTTAAGCATAATGCGATGGTGACTCGTTGGTGCTTTTCCCTGATTGATTGTTTCTTTCCTTATTTTTCTCTCTTTACTTTTTTTTACACGCTTCACTAATGAGGCGCGGGATGCAAACCACAAAAATAAAGAAAAATGTTTTGATGAAACTTCCATATTCACGCGCGGTGTCTTGCTGCGCATGCTATGTCGGAGGTTTTTGCTTATTTCATATATATCTGCGTGGTGTTGATTTTTTATTTCTTTTTTTTTTTACTTTTATTATTTGCGTTTCTACCGTTTTTGTCACATCATTAGTGTCTGCCGTGGAGTGAAATGACACGTGCTGGCTTCAAGGGTAAGGTGCTCGGTAAGGAGCGCAAGCAGGCGCTGCTGGATGCCCGCAAGAAGGCTGTTGCCTCCCGCAAGGCGCGTGACGACCGCCGCTGGAAGCGCGTGCTGGCGAAGATGGACTCTGAGAAGCGCAAGAAGTATCACGGCGTTGGCAACACCGCTGAGCGCTCGCGCGTGCGTGGCTCTACCCGTGCCGCGCTTCGCAAGCAGACCGGCCGCAAGCCTGACAACATCACTGTGGAGGCAACTATCCACCTGGCGAAGCTGCTCAAGAAGAAGACCTTCCACAAGCGCGCGCCCATCGCCATCAAGCGCATCAAGGCCTTTGTTGGCAAGCTGATGAAGACGAAGGACAACCGCATCGACGCCTCTTTGAACACGTACATTTGGCACAAGGGCGTGAAGGGTGTTCCTGGCCGTGTTCGCGTGCACGTGGAGCGCAAGTCTGAGACCCCCGAGGGTGGCAAGCGCAAGCACTTCTACACCGTCATCTCCAACGTTCCTGTCGCCTCCTTCAAGAACCTCACAACGAAGGTGACTGAGCAGTAAGCGTGTCTACGTGGTCGTTAAGCATAATGCGATGGTGACTCGTTGGTGCTTTTCCCTGATTGATTGTTTCTTTCCTTATTTTTCTCTCTTTTACTTTTTTTACACGCTTCACTAATGAGGCGCGGGATGCAAACCACAAAAATAAAGAAAAATGTTTTGATGAAACTTCCATATTCACGCGCGGTGTCTTGCTGCGCATGCTATGTCGGAGGTTTTTGCTTATTTCATATATATCTGCGTGGTGTTGATTTTTTATTTCTTTTTTTTTTTACTTTTATTATTTGCGTTTCTACCGTTTTTTGTCACATCATTAGTGTCTGCCG